CCTGCTTGCGCAGCCGGGCGACTGAACGACGAACGACCCGAGCCTCCCTCGCTTTGCCATGCTTGTTCCGTCCAGCAGCCCTACCTACCTGACGAGATGTACCTATACCATGGACGTAACCCATACACTGGCCCCCTGACAGTCGTTGACGCCTTACCTCTTCCGGGTTGTTTCGTCACGGCAAAGCGGAGCGTCTTTTTTTTTTCTTTCCTTATTGGTGGCGACATATATATCAAAAAAGATGACACCCCCGCGCCGCCCGACCCGACCCTTTGCCACACCCGACCTGTTCTATCCACGCGAATAAGAAGAAAAAAAATGAAAGAGGATGAGAATAAAAACAAGCAAATGGGGGCGTGATTGTGAAGGAGGAGGATGAATTAACGGAATCTAAACTTTTATCTCAGGGGAGCAGGTGAAACAAGGGGATGTGGAGGACGAGCGCTCTCTTCTCTTTTCATACATCCTCAAACTCGATGTCGTCGTCGCTCTCCTCGCCGGCAGCGACCGCGACCGGGGGCGGCGAGGGCACCTCGACCTTGACCCTCTTGACGGGGCGGCCGTCGGACCCCGGCGTGCCGAGGCCGTGCGGGGAGGTGGTGCCCGAGGCCGGCCCGCTCGAGGCGTCGCGTTTCAGCGACGACTTGCCGAGCGGCGACGGCGCGACGGCGGCAGCGGCGGGCGCCCCCAGGGCGGTGGGCGCGGTGCTGGCCGGGGTGCCGCCGGCCGAGTTGTTTGTGCTTGTGACGACGTCCTCAAACATGTCGTCCTCGTCGTCCTCGTCGTCGTCTTCGTCTTCCTCCTCGAGCGCGGCCTGGCGGGCGGCCTCGGCCTCCTGCTCGCGCTTGAGCTTGGCGAACAGGTCGTCGATTTCGGCATGGTCCTTTGAGGAGTCGTCGTCGTTCTTGTTGTTGCTAGCGTCGGCGGCCGAACCCGCCGCGGCGGGCGCGATGATGCCGCGCTTGGCCGGGTCCAGCTCGTAGGCGTCGCCCGTGACGGTGCTCTCGGCGATCCAGGAGGGGAGGGCGTTGCGCAGGGCGTGCTCCTCCTTGCGGAGCCGCTCGGCCTCGAGCTCCTCCGCCGACGGCCCGCCGGCCGTCAGGTTGACCGTGACCGACTTGGGCCCCAGGTTCGTGAGGCCCTTGACGGCGCCCGGCCGGTGGTTGGCCTCGACCGCCACGCTGCTGACGACCTGGTGCAGCGCGTCGCGCTCCACGGGGCGGGCCTGCTGGATGGCGATCTCGAAGTTGTTGTCCGGCACGATGACGTTGTCTATACGGGGCAACAGGTCCGTGATGAAGCGGAACTGCGTGTTCATGCGCGTCGACTGCTTGTGGCCGCCCGTCTTGCCCTCCGGGTCGTGGCGCAGGACCGAGTTGCAGACCTGGCAGAGGAAGCCGCGGGAGCTGGGGTTGTCGAGCACCTCCATTGATGAGTATTCCTTCATGCACCCGGCGCGCTCGCAAAAGTACTCCTTGCGCTCGTTGACGGGCACCGTCACACCCTGCATCTCCTTGTCGATCTTGTAGACGCGCCACTTGATGGCGTCGATGGCCTGGCGGTAGTCGATGTAGTAGTACATGCGGTTGACGGGCCGCTGCGAGCCCTCTTTAAGCTCGGGCCTCGTCTGCACCTGGATGAACCTGTCCTCCCTGAGTCGACCGCAGAGCTTGTGCAGGTCCTTGGTGTTCATGTTCATGAGATACGCCAGGTCGTCATCGCGCAAGGCCGAGTGCAGCACCAGCGCATCGATCACCAGCGCGTGCTTTGTTTCGTAGAAGGCGCGCACGACCGAGCGCACCAGCGTCTTTGCGAGATCCATCGCGGCGGGCGGGCAGGACGCGACCAGGGACGACGGGCGGGTTTCTCGTGAACGGCAGGCCCACGCGGTCGCAGCGAGGCACCAGGCCGACGGGGCCCCTCGGACGGCGACGGTAGTCCGACGGGAAGGGTGACGAGACGGGGCGCGATGTTCGTCGAGGGCAGGGCGATGGATGAAGCGGCCTTGGCCAGCCGTAGCACCTGGGCGAGTGCTACCTCGAAAGGGCCAGCGCAGTCATTGTTCAGCCCCAGGATGGGAAGCGCCGCGGGATGGGCGGTGTCGCAGACGTGTGCTTCAGCGGTGCGATCGGTATTCGGTTCGGGTTCGAGTTCTAGTTCGAGTTCTCGGGTTGGATCAGATGTCCGGTACCAGCAGCGGTGGTTGGTGCCGGCGATGGAAAAAGTGCGATGGGGAAAATCTTGGATTGCGATCGTGAAGCCTGCTAAGGCTGCTGCTTCTCGCGTTTACTTGCAAACACTTTGAGCTTTCTTCGCTGTCTGCTTCCGGTATTGGTGATTAGTCAGGTGTCAAATGTGGGGCGCATGGGGTCTGCAAGCTGGTTGCGGAAACCTAACCCGATCCACTTCTCTCCGCGACGCTAATGCGCGTGTGCGCAATGCGACTTGTGGTGGGGCTTCCGGTTTCCCACGTGCTTCCCTCCTCCAACGCAAAACAGAACGACCAAGATTCTGCCATCCCATCTAATTGTGGAAAGTCTTCGCAGAAGCCCACCTTGCCGGACTCTGATAGACACTCGCTAGGACGCTGTGTCAATCTAGGTATAAAAGGCTTATTGCATCGCGAAGCCCATCATCCTGATCCCCCACCATCGCCTTGTTATCTACATATATACCAAGCAACACACTTTTGGAACGGCAGACAGGCATTACATCATCATCTTTTGCCAACAACCGCGCCTACTAGTTGCAGTACCAACTGGATCCCGGGCTTAAGATGCCGCCATCACCATCTGTCACGTCAGCCAAGTTTCTAACAAGTCAGCCTTATTCCTAACGCATAAGAGCTTACGTGATCCCCTTGGAGTTGAAGACATCTGCCATGTCTCCGCCATTCCCAGTCATATATCTCCTCTCAACACACCTCAACACCGATAGGCTGCGCGCCCTCGAGGCGCAGATAACAACAATAACTTACAACGCTCAAGAAGCCGAGGTTGTGCTGGGGAACATCAGCAAGAAGCAACGGGCCATGTTCGAGCTCCGCCGCCTCGGTCTATGGACCAGCGAAGTTCCCACGTCTAACGTCGCGACAGAGCCTCCCAAAAAAAGGCCGAGGCATACATCATCAGCAAACAACAACGATGAGGCCTGGTTGTTAGGCTCGCAGCCGGTGGGAACAGATAATCAGGGTATCCGCGGCACTGTACCCGGCTCAGGCAAGGTGACTGTCGTGAAGCTTACGTGGTTTACCGAATCCACCAAACTCGGACAAGTGTTGCCCTTTGGCGACCATCTCCTCTACGAAGGAATCAAACTCGCTGGGAGCTACGAAGTCAACGACCCCCGCTCCCCTCCTTCAAATCTCCCACCTATACCTCAGCGATCCCGATCGGGCGTTGTGGGAGCATCGAGCCAGCAACCCACAGCCAAGACATCGACAGCCACACATCGCTCATCCCAGGTACCGAGCCTTTTGCGCCAGAGCACCTCGGAACACGAGGCCGCTCGGCACATGCCTACCATGCCCGACTTCCTGCGCACTGTTTACTCGTGCCAGCGACCAACGCCCATACATCCTCCCAATGAGGCCTTCATAAACCAGCTCGCGAAGATCAAGACCACACGGCTTCTAGCCGGTGACAGAATTGGCGTCCGCGCGTATTCCAGCGCAATGGCCAGTCTTGCGGCATACCCATACGTCTTGGCATCTCCTGAAGAGGTTGATAGACTCCCTAACTGCGGCCCCAAATTCGCCGTCTTGTTCCAGGAGTTCCAGCGCCAGGGAGGGGTCATCAGAGAGGCTCAGGAGGCCGAGCTGGACCCGAAGCTCTCGGTCATAAAGAATTTCTACGATGTGTGGGGAGTCGGAGATGTTACTGCCAAGAAATGGTACGACAATGGTTGGAGGGACCTGGACGACGTCGTTGAATACGGCTGGGAGACACTCACTCGGGACCAGCAGATCGGCGTAAAGTTCTACGACGAGTTCCTGCTCAAGATCCCACGCGATGAGGTGGAGAAAATAGCAGATACCATACTCGAACATGCAAATCGACTCAGGAACGGGTTTCAGATGGTCATCGTTGGTGGATACCGCCGAGGCAACAAAGAGAGCGGCGACGTCGACATCATGCTCAGCCATCCTGACGAGAACGCCACTCGCAACCTCGTGACCCATCTTGTCGTTGCTCTCGAGGGCAGCAACTACATCACGCACACACTCGTGCTGAGTACCAAGAACTCGGAGCGCGGGCAGGTCACGCTGAGCTGGAAGGGCGAGGTGAACAAGGTGCCCGGGTCCGGGTACTGCACGCTGGACAAGGCCCTGGTCGTCTGGCAAGACCCTAGCTGGGCGGCCGGCGGCAACAACACCGAGAAGAACCCGAACCCGCACCGGCGAGTCGACATCGTCGTGACGCCCTGGAAAACGGCCGGCTGCGCGTTGCTGGGCTGGACCAGCGGCACGACGTTCCAGCGCGACCTGCGCAACTACTGCAAGCGCGAGCGTGGGCTCAAGTTCGACAGCAGCGGCATCCGCAGCCGCACGAGCGGGCGCTGGCTCGACCTGGAGAGCGGCGAGGACGGCTCGCCGGCCCCGGACATGCTGACGGCCGAGAAGAGGGTTTTTGCCGGTCTCGAGCTGGAGTGGCTCTCTCCGGAAGAGCGGTGCACTGGATGATGCATAAACAGGTAGCTAACCAAGCGCGACTGTGAGATACAGGTCTGAAAACTATATCGGCTGGCAAAGAATAGCCCCTGAAGCACATTTTCTCGGGACAAGAACCCCAGGCAGGGGATACGAGAAAACACCAAGGGATGCAGATGACGAGGAGTAACGCGCAGAACACTAGCTTGGGAGCCTTGCAGCACTGAAATATGTTTTCGTCATTTTAATGGGAGTTTCTAGTCTAGCGTACTGGTACAGCGGCCGTTCTCCTCCTTGTCCCTCCCATCACCGGCACATCACACAACACCATGAAATGATTACCTGGTCATGGCCCAGCCGGTGTAGCCAGCCATGACGATGAGAGGGTAGGCGGTGAGGTAGTGGCCCAAGATGCCGCTTCAAATAAATGGTCAGCGGGTTCTACCCCTAATGTTTGCCGGCATGGGCAGGCTGGCTGGCCAAAGATGGGTCGACTTACGTTGTGCGTGCCTTGGGGCCGCCGGCGCTGTACATCTTGGCGTAGAGCAGGCGGGAGAAGACCCAGGCGGCACCGAGAGAGGCGCTGGCGAGGGGAGTCCTCAGCCCCGAAATGAGGAGGGCGCCGAGGAAGGAGGTGTGCTACGGGCGGTGAGAGAAAGGGTGTGTCAACAAGCTATTTCCTCCTACATAGGGGACACCAACACGCAACCCACCATGATATTCTTGATGAACATGAAATAAAATAAAAAAAAGGCACTCACGTTCTCGGTAAAGTTTGCGTGGGCGCGCTGGGCGCAGTTGAACGCATACGCGTTGGGGTCCTTGTCGGCGAGGGCCTTGTCGGCGTACGAGACGGGGTACGCGAGGCCCGACTTCTTGCGGGCGCTGACGGTGAACAAGCCGTGGATGAAGCTGAGGAAGAAGGACGAGGACGCGACCATGAGCACGTAGCCGTACTCGGCCGGCAGGTTGAGGCTGACGATGCTTCCCGACATGTTTGCGGTGGTGGGGTGGGAGGGACTGCGGTGATGTTTTTGGTGATTGAGTGTTGTGTCTTGTTATTTTCGAATTTGAAAGGAGTCCGAGCGAGCAAAAAGAAGGGTGAGACTGTACTTACTCAAACAAAGGTGGTGGGTGACGGTGACAATCTGTTATTTGTATGAATCGCCGGCTAACAAAAATGCGGCCGAGATTCCGGATAAGAAAAAGGCTGGTTGGTACTGACTACGGCTGACCGAAAACGGTACCTGGTACCCGTCCCGAGGTGGGAAAACAGGGTAGAAAATAGCAGAACTTGGTTGAACGGGATTGAACGCCGGGGTGGATTACAAAACAACACGTTTCCTCCCCCTACCTAGTCCGTTCCCAGCGCATAGGCTCCTTTGCCTCTTTTTTTTTTTTCTCCCCTATTTTAACGGACCCGAAACGACGCGTGGGCGACGGGCAATCTGTTAACGCCGGCCCCGACACGGCGTCTGAGAGATGGAGGTCAAGGCACGCACAGCTCGCACTGGCTGGCCCCTTCTCCCCTCACCAAAACCCAAGAAAGGGATAGGATGGTCTCTGCGGCTCCCCCCGTGCAGGTATACCACCGCCAGATGGTTGCGACACCACTACCACATGGACTTGGCCACCGTGGACCACCGAGGGAGGTCGGCACATCGGGTCGCCCCTTGCGTTAGCTCCAAGATAGTCTGAGCTAGGGAAACAGAGGTTTCTGACACCCCACTCCCGGCCTAATTGAGGCTCCGGCTCCATCGGAAAGTCGCCGAGTTCCGAATCCCACCCCTGACTGAGCAGGATAAGACGGAATTCTAGCAGTTCGTCGCATAATACAACAAACTAAAAATTCCTAGTATAAAACTAGGTAGACAGATACCTGGGTAGGTACGACAACGACGCTACCTTGGCTGAATGAAATCACCAAGGATCCTACTCAATTAACGCCCAATCCGTCCTGCAATGCCGTGATATACAATGATGAACCTGAACCTGAGCCTGCCCTCGCCGATAATCATGATGTAAGGTGTGACAATGAATGCATCGGCGCGTGTTCTGTATGTGCGTGCCGTGTAACAAAAAGCTTTCGACGCTCAGCGCCGCCGCCTGCGCTTCCTCAGTTCCTCCCACTCGTCAGCCTCATCTTCGTCGTCCACCGACGCCGCCAGCGGCGCCGAGGTTTCTGCAGTCTTGCCGTCCACCGACTTTTCGATCCCGTTGTTGCCCAGCAAAAAGTCGGCGTAGTACTTGAGCGCGTGGAACATCTCCTCGCCCGTCGGCACGATCTCCTCGGGAGGGAGCAGGAAGCCGTAGATGCCGCGGTCCCGCAGCTTGATCTGGTAGCTGAACTTGGCGCGCATCTCGTGGTAGAACCAGTCGATGGCCGACCCGCCTCCCGACTCCATCCGCCGCACCGAGGAGCCCCGCAGCGAGCCCATGGCGCCCTGGCAGGCCGAGAAGACGTTATACAACTCGCCGCTCGACAGCCGGACCGCCTTGGCGATGCCGATGGCGAGCTCCTCGAGGTTCTCGAGATTCGGTGGCTCCGAGTCGCATGTGTACGAGTAAGGGTACAGAATCTCTTGCGAGAACGAGTGGAGGTCGATGAGCCCGACAAAGTTGGTGCCGTTCTGCTCTGCCTGCGACTTGGCCCAGTCCGAGAGCTGCCGGGCCTCAACCGCCTGGAACGGCTGCTCGCCGCCGTAGCTTTCCGAGCATGGCTCGGGCAGGTTTCTATCCCACTCGAAGCCGAAGGCGCGGTCAAGATCGAGGCCACGGCAGAAGCTCAGGGGAGTGTCCTGCCTGGTCTTCCTCCAAAGCCGATCGACGGCCCACGTGTATTCGTAGCCGTCAGGGTTGAGCACTGGGATGAAGACTGCCGTGTAGTTGTCAAGGAATCGAGTCAGGACCGAGTCTTGGCCGTACGAGGATATCAGGGACCACGCGAGATAGTTAACCGCCGCGGTACCAATCCACTCCCGCGCGTGCAGGCCGCCATTGACCACGAGCGTCTTCTTGGGGGTTGCGTTCTCGCTGCCGGGCGGCGCGGGCTTGCCCACGCGTAACGCCAGAATCTCCCTCCCCTCGAAGGACTTGCCGATCACTTCGAGCGTCACTATGCCCGGGAACATGGACGCGACAAGGCGCATCCAATGGTATATGACGGTGAGGGGCTGGTAGTCGTGGAAGAAAACATTGTCGAACCCGGTGGTGTGCGTAAGCACCGAGGGGGCCAGGCGCCTGTCCGAGTCAAGTCGCGCGCTGGCGCTGCCGCCGTCGCGAGCGGCATCAGGCGTGGCGCGGCCGCCACCGTATGTGGCCAAGACGGCGGCGGGGAGGTCTGGGATCAGAGTTGAGAAGGCCGACTGGAGCGATGCGGGAAGTAGGCTGAGCAATGACGAGACGTCTTTCTTGTGCAGGCGGATGTCGACGTTATTCCGCGTCGAGGCCCAGACATCGAGGAAGAGGCGGTCGGCGGCGTCGGCGAGAGCGCCCTCCTCGTCGTGGCTCGACACGTTGAATCGGATCACCGTCTCCTTGTCGTAGCGCGGATTGAGGGCGCCCATGCCCCTGGGAGGGGCCGACTTGCGCTTCGCCGAGGCTGGACGGCCAAAAACCATTTCGACGACATTGTCTCGCAACCACGTCACCAAGGGGAAGAGCCCGCGGGAGGCATTCTGCGCGTGGGGAGGCGGCGGCCGCACGCCTGCGGCAGGCACCGTGGGAGAGAGGACTAGGAGAACGAGACCGAGGAGCAGCGACAACAAAGCATATCGTCTCGACAGCATCTTGGGATCGAGATGGGCGCGATTCACATGCAGCCAGCGAGCGGTTGAGCCAGCCACCAAGGCCAGGCTCCAAGGGAGCGTCTAGACTCGAGCCAAGGGCGAAGGCAACCCTCGACGGGTTCGAGGGTTGCAGATCAAAGCGCCAGCTCGAGAGGAGGGATTTGGTACAGGCGGGATCCTAAAGGAGTGAGGGGCAAAAGAAAAGGAAACGATACAGTGGTGGCCGATGGAGTTGGAAAGCAAGGATGGCGGAGACGAATGAAGCTGGGGCTGTCGTGTCGCTGAGACTTTGTGAATGCAGCCTTCATGTGCACAACTTCGGTGTCTTGGCCGCTCGATCAGAGAGCGGGGAACTCTAGATCCGAGCTCGGGCGCGAATTGGCTGGGAAAATCAATCTCAGCAATCTTAGGCCTGGAAGGAGAGACTGGCCGCGCGCGTGTTTGCCGGCCGAACCTGCTTCTTGGTCCCACCACTCAGACTCGCCACTTTGCAGGGGCGCTGCACAGCCATGAGGATCCCTGGAGGATGACGCCTCGCAGGTCTAGGTAGAGGGAAATGAGTTAGCAGGTGTGCTGGCAGCCACTAAGGAACCAGGCAAGGCCATTCGATCCAGCGCAGTGTCCTAGAGGTCCCAGGGACTAGAATTGTCAGCGGCATGGGACTTTTCTTCCCCGTGTTTTTGTGCTATTCCTTTTCCCGTTGTTATCTTATACCTCTTCCCGTTCTTATTCCTGTTCCTGAGAGTGGCTAGCCCACCGCACTAACAGTTCTGATCCCTGGGACTTGCGCAACGGGTGAACGGTTGCTTGTGCAGAGCCGCTGTGGCAAGAAATGCTGAATAAAGCTCGAGTCCTTGGGACGGCCCCATGGCCGCTCGAGCGTACCTGCCGTCTTTGATGCGGTCAGAGACGAACGTGAATGGTGGGATCCTGTGGGATCCTGTGGGATCAGAATTCAAACTCGGAATCAACAAAGGCTAATAGATCAAGCGCCTATGGGGGTAGTTACAGCACGATAGCGTGGAAATCAACATGAAGCCTATAACAGTATCCCGAGAGAGAGATGTCAGATTTGCCATTAGAGGGAGTCGTGGAAGCCTTCAAGCCGGTCTCCCACTCGCCTCCCGCGCCTCTCTGGCCAGCCTCGAACGGCCCCTGAGTGCGGTAGGCTCGCAGCCCGCCCACCTGCATTTCCGGTGCCAACGTTGGATTCAATTGGTGTCCGGCGCACTGGGCTGCTGGCGGTGGCCTAGAGCCCCACCAGGCAATAGCTGCAGGTGGTGCGAGCCAATCATAGAGCCAGCACAGCGGTGCGTCCCCCCAGCGAGATTCTGGACCTGGAGCCCCCTGCCTAATCCGTGCGCGCTTGCCTCCTTTCATCCTTGTGTTGGTCCCGCTTGGGTCCCCGCTGACCATCTCACTGGAGGGACGGCCTGGAGTCGACAGCCTCCGAACATGCCAACCTCGTCGTTGACGCCCGCCGCGTTTTTTTTTTCCTTCCCTAGCCCACCTCCTTTTTGTGCCGACCCAAGACAACCAGCAACCTGCTTCCGATAGTTGGCTGCGTATCTTGTCAGCCGGGCCCCCTCGTTCAATTGCAATTTCACGACCGGCTTTTGTTTTTGTCCTTCTATCATTTTCTATTGTTGTTGTTTTTCTCCGGTCTCACTGCGACCACCTGCGCTTCCCGCTCACATCCGAGTCAGCGATTGAGTCCTTGGCCCTTCGCTCCCACCCAACCAGCAAGTGATGCCATCTTGAACAGGGCCTGAGCAACACCATTGAGTCGCAGCCCGGGCGACTGCCATGCCCCTTTCGTCGCTCCCCGTCTGAGCATGGTCGCAAGCACCCACCGTTATGCCCTTCCTTCGCCGACCAGGCGTCATGGCTAGCGAGTCGGACATGCGCCGCCGCACCAATTCGCAGGAGGTGCCGCTCCCCGATGTCCTTCCCAGCACCAGCAAACATCTCCAACCGCCGCAGGAGAACCCAGTGGTAGTGCAACCCGCCGCCAACCCACCAGACCTCTCCGATGCCGCCCCATCCGGCCCTGATGCCCCCAGCGCCAGCGATCCCGCGCCTCCCGGCCTGACGCCTGCCGACCGCCCCTCCGCCGATGAGCCCGGACCTCGAGTCTCCTCCCTCCAGCTGCCGATTCGTGCCCAATCGCCTCCATTGCCTGACGAAACCAAATACCGCCGCTTCTCCATGTTGCGCTTTCGCAATGCCTCCGACTCCCAGTTGTCCATCAGAGCTAAGCAGCAGTCCGAGACGCCGCCGCCTCTCCCACCTCTCCCTGACAGTAGGCAGCCCTCATTTCCAGCCAACTCCCTTGCCTGGCGCCACCTCTGGCATCCGTCTCTAGACCTGTCTCGCGCTTATTTTATGCTCGCTTATCTCTTGTTGTCTCATTCTAACCCGTCGCAGCACCTTCTATCATCACGACTGCCCCGACCCCTGATTTGAGCGCGAACCCGAAAAAGCCTCCTCGGATGAAGCTGCCATTCGGACTTGGAGACCGGGACGAGTCCAGCGGACAGAATGGCATTCCGCCCATTTCCAAGAGGGATCGCAGAAAGACGATGAACTTGGATATCATGTCCGGCAGCCGCCAGGCCGTTACCTTCGAAGACCCCCGGCACCATAGCATGGGCCAGATACCACCCGCGTATGGCGAGGAATCCGAAGGGAGCGGTCTTGCACTGCCTTTTAACAATCGCCTATCCGAGTCTTCGAGGTCTGACGGCAGCTTTGGAGACCACCGGGTGTACGGCAGCACGACGACCACGACGCACACTGTCCACACGACTACCACCTTCTTTCGCCTACCGCGCCGCAAGCAGAAGCAGCCCGAGCCCATGTTCCCCATTGCTCACCTGCAGAAGGGAGGAGATTCTCAGGTGCACATGCATGGCGTTGGCTCTAACACGTCGCTTTCCGCCCGGACACCGGAGCGGGCAAGTACGTCGAGCAGGATAACCGGGAACGAGACGCCCACTCCGTCAAGGCCCTCTTCGTCCAGGCGCGACGGCAGCGCGACCTCCCCTAGTCCGTCTCCCGCTGTGGCCTTTATGAGCAGGCAGAGCGTATCCCCTGCGACGGCCCTCTTCAGGCCCGAGTCCAGGAACTCGGGCCAGTCTTCCCCGTCTTGGGGATTGTCTCATCTGCGAGGTAGGTCCTCGACCATGAGCTCATTGGGGAGGAAATCCATGGATGACCGGCTTGCAGCGCCACCGTCCCGCACGTCAGCCTCGATCGGTAGGAAGAGTTTTGGGGACCTGCTGGGACTCAGCAAAATTCGGCACACCAACGGAGGGCGCCCAGGGACCCTAACGCCAGCCACCCCCGGCTCGAGCGCCTCCAAGAACAACTCGTTACAGCTCGCGCGCGACAGCGTTATCCTTCCCGAGCGCCGCGACGATGATACCCCCGCCAAGTATCTGGCAAGGCTGGAAGAGGTCGTCAGCCGGAGTGTCATCGCCAGCGCTCTGTCCAAAAATGCGGACCAGTTCTCCCAGGCTGTTTTGAGGAGCTACATGCGTGGCTTTCGCTTCTTTGGAGACCCGATGGACATGTCTATCCGCAAACTTCTCATGGAGGCGGAGCTTCCCAAGGAGACGCAGCAAATCGACCGGTGCCTGCAGGCGTTCGCGAACCGGTACCACGAGTGCAACCCCGGCATTTACGCCGACCCGGATCAGGCCTACTTCATCGCCTTCTCGCTCCTCATCTTGCACACCGATGTCTTCAACAAGAATAACAAGTACAAGATGCAGAAGACGGACTATCTCAAAAACACGCGCGGCGAGGGCATCTTTGATGATATTCTCGAGTGCTTTTACGACAACATCTCCTACACGCCCTTCATCCACGTCGAAGACGACCTAGACATCAACGGAGAGCGCATTATTGCACACAAGTCCAAGAAGAAGACATTCATCCTGGGCGGCAATCCTGACCCGGCAAAGCGGGTGGCCAAGGAGCCTATCGATCCCTACACGCTGATCATCGACAACAAGCTCGATATACTGCGGCCCAACCTCAAAGATGTGATGCACCTCGAGGACACGTACAGCTACATCGGCGTCGAACAGACGCTCAATCTCCAGGAGCTGCACAAGACCTTCTTTAAAACGGGTGTGCTCCAGATTGTGTCGGCAAGGTCTCGCCCAGACGCTTTCATGTCGGAGAAGACAGCGACGAACCCACAAGAGGCCCAGGCGGGAATTGTGGATATCAAGATCACCAAGGTCGGGCTGTTGTGGAGGAAGGACGTGAAGAAGAAGAAGACGCGATCGCCATGGCAGGAGTGGGGTGCAATCCTCACGGGTGCGCAGCTCTACTTCTTCCGGAACACGTCTTGGGTAAAGAATCTGATGCATCAATACGACACCCACATCAAGAACGGCCACGACGGAATCCCCGTCATCTTTCATCCGCCCCTAGACCAGTTCAAGCCCGACGGCCTGATGTCCACCGACGGCGCTGTCGCTCTGCTAGACTCGTCTTACAAGAAGCACAAGAACGCCTTTGTCTATGTCAAGCATGGTGGCTCCGAGGAGGTGCTCCTGGCGGATAACGAAGAGGAGCTCAATGACTGGCTAGCAAAGCTGAATTACGCAGCCGCGTTCAGGACCTCGGGCGTGCGCATGCGTGGCGTGGTTGGTGGCAGCTACGACGGCCAGACTCGCAGGGCAATGAGGAGGCTCGAGTCGGAGTCGTCTCAGTCGGTCCAGACCCCGACCGGCGAGGTCACCATCTCCAGGAGCCGGATCGACCAAAAGATGGCGCAGGACATCCTAGAGGCGCGGCGGGAGGTCATGTCACAGAGGATAGCCGACGCCAACGAGAGGATCCAGGCCGAGGAGTCCAAACTGGAGGACCAGCTGAGAAACGCCAGGCACCTACAGCTCCTGGCGCCCGTTCAGCCCAAGACCAGGGACCAGATACTCGTGGCCGCGGCGCGTATAGCGGCACAGCTCAAATGGACGCGCATGGAGATGTGGAGGCTCAAGTGCCATCGCGACATTCTCTTGATGGATCTGGAAGAGGAGCGGCTGCAGCTTGACCTCATATCATCACCACATCTACACCCCAACAGCTCGCCCGAGAAGACGGGGCCTGGGCGGGATGAAGCCAGGAACAGCATGTCGACCATAGTGCAACAAAGCCCAAAGGCTGCCGACCAGGCCCCCCGAAGGCTGTCGGCTCCAGCTCTGGACGAGCCCATCGACTCTCCCGAGACGGACGTATTCCAGACTCCGCCAACGAGCGCCCCAGGGCATCAAGGACATCACAGACAGCACAGCTCGTGGGATCTCCCTCCGCGTGGCCTCGAGGCTCTCCGCCTGCGAAAGGCGTCAATATCTAGCGCCATATCTGCCATATCGGCGGCCGCGTCACCTCCCAGGAAGATTCCCAGCTCCCAGTCAACCCCAGCTATCGCATCGGCGTCAAACCCGGCCCAGCCCACGGAGGAACACAGCGATGAGCTTGACGCAGCCGAAAGGGATTTGCTGGAGCAGGCAGGCCTTATTGATGCCGAGCAGGCGCGAGCAGCCGAGGCCAAATCAGCAGCCGCTATCCTGATGGATGGCGGTGAGGGCCGAGAACGCCATGAGGGCACCTCATATGGCTCATCTGCCGACAAACAAGACCGTAGCAAGATACGCCGCAGTCTGCAGCGGACGCTTCGCGAGAGTGCCGGCCATTTGTCGCACCATAGGAGCACTCGCAAAGGCAAGGAGCCTGCATCCGGTGCCTATGCAGACGAGGAGCCGGCTCGGGAAACGGATGTCCTGACGCGCGGCTCGGGGTCGTTTGTGGTCCATGGAAAGAAGGCTTCGGTCATCAGCTTTGGCGGCGAGTTGCAGGCCATGACGCCTGATCAGCGCATCCGGAACCGGAAATCACAGCAGTCTGGGGCGCCTCGCGACGATGCCGCCTCGCCGCCGGCCGGGGACGGAGAGCCTCCCGCGGCCGACTATCAAGCAGTCCTGGAATCCCCCAAGGACCCCGAACGCCGAGAGTCGGCCGCAAGCGCCAGCACCGCTACAGCAAGGAGCTTCCGGGAGCTGCATAGGAAATACTCGTCTGTTCAGGTATACAAGTCTGGCCCCAACCTGCCACTCCCAGATGAGGACAGCGACGCGGCCGTGAGCTTCTCAGAAGGGCGCAGGACCCCACTTCCCCCAATCGAGCACGACTCGGACGAGGAGGCCTGGGCTCTCAGTCAGGAATCGCCGAGACCTAGGCAGGGGTCTGGACAGGCGTCATCAGGTGTCTTGAGAAAAGCGGCCGACAGTGATGACAGCGGCGACGATGATGAGGAGAGGGGCAGCAGCTTTCTCAGCCCGCCAGATAGCGCCGGCGCACACTCGCGGTACCTGACGCCCGAGCCGTCTTCATCACGACCGGGGTCTCGATCGAGCAACGCGAGTGGGGATGAAAGGGAAGCTGAGCATGCCGACAGGCAAATTCAAAGCCCACCACCGATCCAGGTCGTCAGCGCCTGAGCTCTACACCTCCTCCTACGCCAAGAATCGTCCATCGAGCCCTATCTGTGAATACCAATAGACAGAAACAAGGGGCAGAACATAAAAACGCAGAACGAAACCAAGGAAAAAGGAAAATAAAAGAAAAAACACTCACAGCGACCGGGCGAAATCTGGGCTCTAGGCCCTCAGCGGGCACTCACTGCATTTCCTTATCTTGTGTATCAGTAGACGTGGGCGTCGAGGCCCTGCAGAGGTGCAACTTGGCCGACTCAAGCCCTCTTGACAGCGTGACGGAGAGTGCCTTGATGATGGCCGCTGCCGATTATTCTCTTTCATTTTCCTTTATTCGTTCCCCTCCTGAATTTTACGCTTCCTTGCTTCTGTTTTTTTTTATTCTTTTAGTTACGTGTTTTAACTCTTACAAACCCTTGACGCGTAACTCGCGCGGGTTTGTGCTTTCCTCCTTCCATTTTTTTATTTGTTTATCATCACCCCTTCTTCTTTTCTGTCTACTTTTCCACGTCTCCTCCCTCTCTTCATCTCTCATGGGACTGGCCTCAAGCTCCAGCGGTGACACTAGGGGTGATCTGCGCCCACTTCAGGTGGTGATCCCCAACTCCCTTCCTTTCTTTTCCCACCGCCTCGAGCTTTCTGGTTTCTTTTCTTTCCCCTCATGACGGATGGATGGAATGGCATGGTTGTTTTGTCGGCGCGAAAAGGGGACAATAGGGGTTTTCTTTGCTTGTTTTTGTTATTGTTTTGTCCAACTATTTTCCGATAGACACACATTGTTCAACTCGGAATAACAGCACAGCACAGTCGGGTGCCTTCTCCTTTCTCACTTGAAGCTCCTCGAATATCGCTTACACCAAAACTGAACCAACCAACAAAAAAAAAATCGAGCTGACGCATAATCCAGTTGTATCAACTCATGAGCCACACTGCGTGAGACGATCATGGCTGCTGTTTTATGCAATCTCTACAGGTGATGGTTTGTTTTCGTCCACCTGGTGGCCAGGGCGGTAAATGTCGTGACATGTTTTTGTTTCCACTTAGACCAAAACTCTAGTTTTACATGTTTTCCCCCAGGCGTCAACCCATCCGTCAGCAATCTGCATGGGTCGCATTCGTGCAACGAGGAGCTCCCTTCCCTCGAGCAGCGAAGCGTCCCCACAAGTCCGCCCTATCCAAAAACAAGAAACAAGGGAGGCATCTCGCGGGGCATACCTATGTATGGACGCCTGTGATCCATTCATTCCGTTCCCCCCTTTCATTTCTTCCCCTTCTTCTTCTTCTTGGCCCCCGCCCCGCCCGCAGGCGCCTTTTCAACCTTGACGGCCCCGGCCCCGCCGACGAGCTCGAGCGTCTCCTCCTCCTTGACGATGCCGCCCTGTGTTGCCTCGGCCGCCTTCTTCTTTCCCTTCTTACCCTTGGGCCGGTACGTGCTCCGGTCGCGCAGCGGCAGCCACCGCTCCGGGTCTGGCTTCTTCTCCAGGTCGTAGTCCTTGGGCAGCTTGGCTCGGCTACGCCGCGGCTTCTTCGCCGGCGCCGCACCATCCGCCGGTGCCGCCGCCCCGCGCTTCCTACTTCCAGTGGCAGTGGCCGCGGTTGATGAAGGAAGAGAGGCCACGCCGGCATCAAGGAGGGCGCTCACGTCGACGCCCGCCGTCAGCTTCTCGACGGGGGTCAGGTCGGCCATGTAAGGCTGCGCGCGGGATGGGTCGCTCGTGGCGAAGCTTGCCACGAGACCTGCTTCGGCAAGGCGGTCACGCTGCTCCTCGCATAATCGGGAGAAAGCCGCGCCCGCCGTGGAGAGGTCTGACGAGTCTTGAGAGTGCAATAGCTCGATACCAGCCTGGCGTAGCAACGACAGCGCACTGCCGTCGCGGAGGTCACTGCCCCCTGCGGCAGACTGTTGCTGCCAGTGCATGGCGGCCCTTGACAGCTCGGCGCGGACGGCAGCATGGCGGCCCTGGAGGCGATAGAGAGCGACAGCGAGGGCGACAAGGCCGGGGGAGAAGCGGGTGTCGGCATGGTCTGGCGTTGTGGCAGCTTCCAAACGCCTGAAGAGGGCCTCCAGCAGAGACAGGGCTGGTGCTGGGTTTTCTGTTTGGATGTAGAGCTGTATGATGGTGAGCAAGAGGCCGATATCGTCTGGGCGCGACTCGAGTAGCGGCAATATGCTCCTGAGGGCTTCCTTTCCGGTCTGAAGGTGCGACACAGCAGCGGCGTGCAACACGCCCAAGTTGCTGGCCTCACGCGACGTGTCGGGTGCTGATGAGGCGTCTTCCCTGGCCAGACCTGTCCTCGCCCTGGAACGGACGCCACTGAATTTTTGGCATTGCAACTCAATGACCTCCTTGTTCCGCCTGAGAACTGCAGCTTGGTATTCAAACGGCCTGCTGTTATCTGTGGGTGGCTTGATCGACTCGGCTATGCGGGCAGTCATGTATGGGTTGGACCCCTGCTCTTGTGCCAGAGAGTTGTTTTGTGCAACCCACTTTGTGGAGTGGTCGGATATGCTGGAGAGCGCACAAACAAGAAGAAACGGTCAGCGACTTGGTTGGTGCAGTGGCCAGCATGAGAGTCTCTCCAGGACCACGGGGTCAGGCAAGGGGCGAGAGGCAAGGGGCAAGGGGCAAGGGGCAAGGGGCAAGGGGCAAGGGGCAAGGGGCAAACACCTACTCTGATATGCTGATGGAGTTTTGTAACTGGGCACCCTCGTCCAGCTTCCCCTGCCTTATCAGGACATAGGCGTGCTGGACAAGGATTGGGATGAGCTCGACCTGCCTCTCCTCGTAGTTCAGATCTTCCGAGGCCTCGCACAGGGCCTTGGCCCTCTTCAATAGCACCTCGGCTTTCTGCAGTTCGCCGCGGGCGACGCAGCCACATGCGGCGTTGTAGGCGGTCTCAAAGGCCTCCATGTCCTGCCTCGAGGGCTGGCGCTCCGACTCGGAAAGGTGGTGGGCGGCACCGGCCCACTCGATCTGGGCGGCAGTGGCCAGCATGTTGATGCGCAGGTCACCCTCCTCGTTGATGCGGCCCTCGCGCGAGACGGTGTCGAGCAGCTCGCGGTAGGCCCTGGCGGCGTCTGTGAAGCGCTCGGCGCGGTAGGCAACCTGGGCGCTCACATGGCGGGCGCCGCGGGTGGCGGCCGAGGCTGGTGTCTTGGCACAGAAGTCATGACAGACGGCGGCGGCAGCATCGAGGTTGCCGGTCTTGTAGAGGGCATATGCGTTCTCTAGGGCGCAGTCCTGGGCAAGGCGATCGCCCCCGTCGCTGATGGCACGCAGGGCGTCGTCGTAGCGGTCGAGCTTGACGAGGGCGACGACCTTTGTGTGCTGGGCGGCGTGCAGGTCCGGGCCGGCTGAGGGAGAGGAGCGGATGGCGTCGTTTGCCAGCCTGAGGGCCTCGGCGTGGTCCTCAATGTCGGTGCCTCGGAGGAGGGAGTTGAGGGCCGAGATGGCGGGGTCCGCCATTTTGGAGGACGATCAGGTCTGTGCCGCAGCGCTTGGGGGGGTGTTCGGTGTCTAGCTGGCAGGTGGTCGTGTTGGAGCTGGGGGAACGTCAATTGCGTCCGGACTCTGGGGCGGACGAGGGAAGGTGGTGCAGTGTGAGGGCGAGACGAGAGTGGAAGAGAGGGTGCGAGAGAGTGTGAGTGTGGGTGTGGGAGCGTTTGTGCCCACTGCTAGGTGCTTGCTGCTTGCTGCTGCTCGCTTGTTTGCAAAAAAAGAAAAAAGAAAAAAAGACCAGCATACCTACTGTGCACACAGTCCACGCTTCGGCAGGGAAGGCCAGTCTAACCGCAATGGACCAGCACGGCCAGAAAAAAAGGCCTTCCTGCGGCTGCCACTGCGCTGGAGCAAAATGTGACTCTCGTGAGGGGCTACGCTGGCTGCTGTGTGGGGCAGAATTGTGCGGCGTCAAAAAATATTTTTATGTGGATATGAGGTCACTCTCTGTGTTCATGGCCAGAACCGTGGCTCGTGTCTCTCTGCTTTGCCTTTGTTGACGGTGTTCAATCTCTCGTCTCTGGCAAACGGCCGTCCTGTCCTCTAAGCCGCAGGCCCGTCCGTGCAGACAGCATCGAGGCCGAGACCGAGGCTGGGCCAATAATCCGTGGGCGGTGGTCGTTCCTCGAAAGCAAAAGCAAAATCCAGGTTTCTCCTCACTCGCCCACCGTTGTTGACCAGGGCAGCTCGCGTGAGACCCTGGGCAGTGGCCCCTCCCACTGGCGCCGTTGCACGCCCAGACCCACCCAGCCACAGGCTGTATCCGTGCTTGTTTACAAAGAGAGATGAAGAAAAAAAAAAGAAAAATCTGACCCGACCAGCAGCCTGGCGTCGGTTTTCTAGTCCCACCCACCGCAAATTTTGCATTGACAGACTTTTTTTTCTGGGATTTGTCTCTGTTTTCTCGTTTTTTTTTTTTCTTCTTGTCTTAGACTTTTGTTCTTTTTTTTTCTTAGTCTGTGGCAGTTCGTTGAATGCCTGTCATGGTTAGCTCCAATTTCGGGATGCGAAAACTGGCATCTAGGTGGTCTCGGCCGTGTCCTCGTCGGGAGTTGGTGAGTGTGGGGTGGTGGTTGGTGGACGCCGAGGAAAAACAAGTCTTCGTGTTCGTGCTGTAGGTGTGGCTTTTGGGAATGGGTTCCTTTTGGGAATGGGTTCGGCTTACTCGTGGGTTTTATGCCGGCGCCCTGCTTCTATCCCCCAGCCTCAATCAGCCTAAAATTCCATGGGCGCCGCAATGCCAAAACATGTCACCGCCTGCTGAACAGCCCCCAGAAACCACTGTTCTTGGCCCTTGAGCCTGGCGGGGTCCTGTAAGGTTTCAGCGGGTAGGTCGGCGGCACGTTATATTCGGAGCCTTCGCCCGAGCCCGACTCAGCAGCGCTGGACCCGTGCACCCTCTGCAGCCGTCGCCGCTCGGGTATCTCCCCGAGCTTGGTGCTGACCGACGAGACAGTCATCATGGACATCCTGTTGGCCACGCTCCTCGAGAACCGGTGACTTCGAAACGGGCTCCTGGGCCTAAGGGGAAAGGGGTCCTCCAGGTCGGCCTTTCTGTCGCGCTTTTTATCGTCACCGTGGTCGCTGCTGGTGCTGATGTTGATCCCGGGGCTAGTGCCAGTGCCAGTTCTGGTGCTGTCTCTGTTGCTGCCGCTGCTGCTGACGGTCGGGTCGTGGGCGTCGCTGACGCCGGTGGGGACTGTTGTGGTTGCGGCGGTGTTGGTGGCCCCGGCGCCGGTGCCGCCGTCAGTAGCGGTGCTGTTGTTCCTGCCGCCGACTGCGTGGCTGTCTGTGAAGCCACTACTGCTTCCAGTGCTGCCGCCACCTGGGGCGGTTGCAGTGCTGCTTGATGTGACGCTTTTCGACAGCTTCCTGCTGTCCCTCTTTGGCTCGCTTGATCTGTGGGCCTTTTTGGAAGCAGCAACAGCCTCCTTGGACACCTTCCGCGACGACCTCTTGCCCGGGTCCTTTCGCGTCTTTGTGGGCGGCGGCTTAGTGGGCGAGTGCGGGGCGATTGATGTGCCCGCATCCGACGCCGAAGCCCGGCGCCGTCGATGTCCGTCGGCCGACGTCGACGACGACGACGCGACCCCGCTAGATGATGCCAAGGACCGCCGCGAGGGTGCACTCGCGAGTCTGTGCGAGAGCTGGTCGATGGCGTTGACGGCGTCGATACGCGACGAGTTAGACAGTCGCTTAAGCGCGTCATAAGGCAGCATCGCGTCATCATGCTTGCCCATATGGAGAAGATCGACCAGGGCGGCGTTGAGCTTCTTGAGCGTCCGTCGCAGGACGGACTTGGCCTTGTCTGCAACCCGGCTCGGAGCGGACGGGGAGTCAGTGACGGCTTCGTCGTCGTCGGAGCGGGCTTGCTGTCTGCGAGAAAGACAGGGGCCGGCTGCATTGGGCATTGGGCCGCATTGAGGAGGGGCACACTCACCGTCACCGCGCGCGAGGCGCCTGCCGCTCTCGCTCAGCCGAGAGGCATATCGCCGTTCGATCTTGTCGCGATCCGACTTGAGAGACTTCTGGAGGAGCGAAGCCGCGTCCGACTCGGGTCTTGTCTCGTCCGTGCGGCGCCTGAAGACCTCCAGGAGCTGGAGACAATTGCCGTAGGTTTCCAAGAGCTTTCTGATGCTGTCGCCGAACCGCATGCTTATAAAGACTTGGTAAAAGGCGGGCCGTTGGAGGAAACGACTGCGAGAGACGTTTCCTATCCGGCTCTGGGTCCGGGGTCTTGGTGTCTGTTGCCTGTCTTGCCTTGTCCGTCTCTGTCTCGCGATTCTTGGGGGAGCAATGTGTGTCTTCCTTTTGCTGCCCTCGGCCAGGTCCGTCTCTTGAAGCGAGGCTGGCTTTGGGCTGGAACCCAGACCGCGTTGGGAGGCGTGCGGGGCAACGCACCACCGCCATCGCAAGCCAGCCGCACAAGGTCTTGGCGCTCCCTCGGCCAATCCAGGAACGCCCCCTCGCGCCCCCCTCGCGCCGTCCTGACCTCCTTAGGCTCCGGCGCCAATTCCGCGGCCACGAGATGTCATTTCCTCAGGCATCACCTAACGCTTTGCGCCGCACCCCTTATTCGCCGCATGGACCCTGATGATCGTTGCCTTTCTATTGGAACGCCGGTGAAGCAGGCCGACGTGCGAAACCAGTGGCCCCCCTCCCGCCTTGCTGTCAGCTTTTCGTCTGCCACGCTGCACATACTACGCCCCATGCTGGTACGTCACTCCTGATCACCCACCCGCGACACGTGTGCTGTCTGGCCCGCTCGAGGGGCCGTGACCGCGTCCGCCTTGGTTCTGGCATCTTTGTCTTTCCAGGCGGTGAGTGACTGCTTTCAGATCTGGGAAGGACCCCGCCAAGACGGCTTGTCAACGGCCGTTGACCAATACGGTGGCTGGTGCTGAGGAACAGGCGAGAAATGCGCCACATGTATGACACCCGATCGTGGCTAAGATCTGGTGGTTAGCTTCCCCGCCTTGCCGAGCTCGGTGACTCTGTGACGGACTAGCTTCCCCGCACGTCACCAGCGCCGAGAGAACTCCCCATGTTCTCGCAACGCCGCGCCTTGGAGCCTTGGAGGGACGTAAATGTATCATTCTTAGAGTCCTTGCTTGCTAGCCTGCCTGCCTGTCTGTTATAATACAGTGGCGTGGTCCTTCAAAGGCGAACACGTGGGGTGCTTGCTGCATGTTCCTGGTGATGTTCCGACTTTGAACAGGCGCAGAAATCCCAGAGGAGGGATAAGCCGGAGGCGCTCCAGGCGGCAAACCTCTAAGCCGCATCCATCACGGGGGTTGCGGACGGAATCAAATCGGAAAAATCGCCATTTTCGCTCAATCACACCCAAAAGCGGGTATTCGAGGCCACATCATCCACATGGCGTTGTCGCATGCGGGTGCATGTGGGGGTCACGGTTGTAGGTATACGGAGAAAGTTGGGCAGACGAGAGACGATGGAGCAAAGGAAGAGCCGCACAGCCATCCCAAGCCCATGAAAGAATTGCGTCGCCATCGCATGGGGAGACATGTTGGCGTATCGGGCTGACAATCGAGAGTGAAATATTTCCAGAGTCACTACGTTGGCACGGCTGAGATGGCGTGAAGGTACATCAAAGTCAAAAAGCACATGCTGTTGTCCTTCTGCCGCCCTTCTGCGGGGGTTGACGAGGCAGCACTCTCGTCCAACCACGAGGCATTGTAACGTCATGTGCTACATTCCCGTCTCCCTCTTCTTGTCCCGTTTCTTGTCCCCAATCCTTTTTCTGGTCACGATGTTACTAGTAGAAGATTGGGGCGAGATAGGAGGCAGCCTGTACCTACCCAAACAAGGTACGCATCCATCAATCCATGCCGGGGGGGCTGCTGATTTTACTTGCACGCATGGACAGAGCAACGTCTCCAGCCACCGTCCGTTCGGGGTTCGAACACAGGGGGCGTTCCTGTGTGTGTCCTTCCGATTGGCTGTGCTGGACAAGTTGGCCTGCAGCATCCTTCGCCCTCTATGCGCGCGCAGGTTTTGGGAGAGCACGAGAGCCGTTGGGGTCCCTCGTACAGATCTCCGACCCTGTCGCATGCCGCATGCGGGCTGGCTCTTACACGTCAGGAATGGCGCGAATGGCGAATATCGCTTGCTTATCAGGGGCGATCGTGACACAACAAGCAAAACGCCAGGTACCCGTGTGGCATCGATACCGACCCCTCTTCATCACTCCCCCATCGTATGACAACGTTGCCCCAAGCGCTTGTCGCCATGCTCTGAGATATCGCGTCGTTTGGTGCTCGTCTATGGCGATAAAGACGTCGCACTAGCTATGAAGAGGGAATCAGCGGATAAGGGGAGAGGCTAGGAGTGGCAGATAGAAGGTAGGTAGCCGTAGAGAAGAGGCAACCAAAACACAATAACAGGACAGCAGAGGGGTTATCTCGCTTTCAGCCAAGCCGGGCCCCGGCGATGCAACGTTTTCGGGTTGCTGTGCCGGCTGTGCGTGCGAGTGAGACGCTGTGTGCGTCCAGCCAACCACCACACCCTCCCTTCCCTGCCTCCCTGCCCCTCGAATGCCGAAGGTCTTATCAAATGCCCGAGCAGCGGAAAAGAACGAGTGGCAGAAGGGATCAGGGTCCAGCAGGTACCCGTGATGGTGTTGCCATCGTTATCAAATCTAGAGATTGGAGGGAGTGAAGGGAGCAACCGTTGATACCTGCGGTCATGGAGGGGAAACGATTTGGACCTTTTATGCTGGCATGTTCTCAATGTACTGATGGGAAGCAGCGAGTTTCACTTTTTGCATCGATAGAGGCGGTCTGGTGGCGGCCGGTTCAGCTGTATGAGAGAATACACCCATGCGTGGATATCACGAGGGGCCAGGTATCAATGAACCTTTGGATGCCGTCCGAGGAACAAGACGGACGGAACAGGCGGCAGAGGACCATGCGGGACACGAGGGAAAAAAAAAGCGATAGGAACTCTTTCTAAGACAGGCGAGCCGGGAGGCGCCTCCGTTTATCGATGGGCGGTGGGTGTGGGCTGCTTAGACAGCTTACAGGATGGTGCGATGCCACGACGGGAAAAGCAAAACTAGCACTGGGTTCGAGTCGGCGGCAGTCAGAGAGACAGAGAAGAAAAAGAAAAAGGAAGAAAAAGGAAGAAAAAGGAAGAAAAGGAAGAAAAGGAAGAAAAAGGGAATAGCAAGCAATTGGGCGAATCACGATGGCAGCAGCAGACCCTTGGGCAAATGCCTTATCTCTGGCCCCCCACCCCGTTCATCCTTTTCCGTCTTCCCAAAACGGAAAGATGGGGCCCTGACACAACCCAGCCAGCCAGCCAGCCAGCCACCGAAGTCGCCTGATTGAGAGGGCGTCTGTGCGCCTTGTGCAAGGGAAAAGGGTGGGATGTCGACAGGGGAGATGGCGAACGACGTGACGATGCTTGCGGAAATTCGCGCCGGTCCACTGACAATTACCTAAGCGAAAAAAAATCTGCAGGCAGTGAGGGCGGGCGGGTTTTGGTACCTCGGTACCTGAAGGACCCGAGGTGCGGTGGTGCCTACCTTGCGCGTCATTCTTGGCTGGCTGCCAGCGCTGTTCGGCTATGATAAGTCGGTACCGAATTTCGTCGTGTTCCTCTTCTCATGTCAAGCACCCTTGCCTGCTTTGGCTGGCGAGCCAAGACGGCCAGATGAGGGCGGCCAAGCGTCGGGAAGACAATCATGTTTGATGTAATGGCAGCCCAGCATGCCCGGTGATCCCCCACCTCACCGATCGCGCCGCCATGGCTCAATCCCACACTCCCCACGGCCCGCCAAGCCCACTTTGCCCCGTGCAAAGCTGGAGCTCCCCACGCCGCCACACGCTCGCTTCGGTCCTGCTCGCTTTTTTCCAGGTGGGCTTCGCCACCCGCCGTCGGGGGCAGGGCATGGCTGCCCTTGGGAATCCAGTTGATGGAGCACGGAGAAGGCCACCTCCAGGCAGCCAGCGTGCATGTATCGACGGATACCTGCGTCGAGCGACGTGCCTGGGCTGAGGAAGGCATTTGCCGGCGCTTCTGCCATGCACATCAGAAGCAGTCGGAAGCCCATCACAGGTACTTGCTCGCTCACACCCCCTAGCACCCTCTCCGCCTCTCCATGCCCTATCGCCTCGCCGTCAGCCGTCGAGCCTACGTCTTGTCTACCCACGCTGCGCACCTTGTCGGCACGGCGTGCAATATCGACCTGCCTCCAAGGTCCCGTAGGCGATGAGGGTAAAGTGCCTCCTCCTTCCTCCTCCAGCCCACACGCCCCTCCCCCCGTCTCAGCCCTGGTCCCGACGAGGTATCCCTCATTACCAAGGGACAAGCCCCGCTACCTTACGGCCCTGCCGTCCCCGGGTATTACGCTATGAGATGGTAACCCTAGCTAGGCCCCTACACACTAGCGTCGATTCCCACACCCCCTTCCCTGCTTGCCAGGAGGTCAGTCCCTCTGACGAGCGTTATCTCGCAGCTTGTCGCGACCGCACCCGGCCCTTTTCTTCCAACCCCACTCGCCTTCGACTGCTGCTCCCTTGCTATCCACTGGCTCATCGCTAACCAGAGAGACAGTTGGCCTGCTTCTCTCTCGTCCCCTTTTCCTACCCACCTCTTTCGTCTCGGTCTTGCGCCTATTGAGCCTTGACATTTTACTTCTCGGCCTTGGTGGTGTCTCCCTGCCTTATCCTGCCTAGGTACACCCCTTCCTCACTGACACATACCAAATCTATCGCGGCCTCGTTGCGATTGGGTCGCGGAAAGCATCCATCTTCCAGCCGACCCCCTTGACCGCCGCCCTATCTCTTGCCTTTCCTACCCCGGGCTCCATCTTGGACAGACCCCTCCGGTGTCCTTTCCTGAAGACTTGACGGTACTCCTGTCGAGTTGCCCGAGACCAGTCTCGCCGCAACCCTTATCAGTGTCATCCGCACGGACCAGATCGCCTGTCCTGTCCCTGTGGCGCCCTATCGTGATCGAGGGCAAACCGCGCCAGGGCAGGCCTGGGCTCAGGTTTCCCATCGGTGCCGGATCCGTTCCCGGCCTTGAACCATAGGCCCAGCCAGAAACGCCAACGCCCAACCACGACGGCAGGCTTCCCGCCGCATAATAGTGCCGACGCAGCCGCCCCGTTATCTTTGGCTCGCGCCGTGCCTGGATTCAAAGAAGGCCGTTGTCCTCTGTTGCGCACCTTGCCGCTCCGCCCAGAGCACATGGGCGGCGCCCTCCAACCGAGTCACCGCTGGTCCCACTAACACGATATCTCGCCATCCCGTCGCCAAGGGGTAGAGCCGCCCCCCAGTCCGCCTCTAGACTCACAAAAGCCCCCCCATTCCCACTCTCCCGCATTCTGGCGGCAACCCCATCCTACCCACCTTGGGCATTCACGCCCTTTCCCCTTCTTTTATTTTCCTCCCTCGCTCCCTTCCTCAATATCCCTTTGAGGTCGACGCAGCCTCATCCCTGTCCCAGTCTCGGTTCCATGGACGACCCCAAGAAGAAGAAGAGGACCCACGCCGCTTTCCCGAATGCAGTGATGCGTATCCGATAGCATCACTTGCTTCCGCCGCCTTTTCCCCCGCCCAACCATTGTTAGAAGCGGAAACTCCCGTCAGACCAAGGATCCCCGTGCTTGCTCCGGTTCTATCGCCTCTTGCCTTCAGGGAGCTTCCCCTTGCGCACAGGGGCGGGCGACCGCTGGGTGGATCGGCCTAAGCAGCATCAGTCAATAACTACCCGAACAGGCCTGTGCCGAGTATCCCTCTTCCCAGACTTTTTACAGCCGCAAACTCGTCATGTCGAGATCGACCAAGTCATCGCCGTCGCCGCCACAAGGGCCGGCATCCCAACCAGGGGAGCCCAGACTCCCTCAGGGCTCCTGTCACTATCTCCTCCCACAGCAGGAGCTCAAAGGCCAGCGCTGCGGTTGTGTGCACTTCACCCTCAACAAAAACATACCCAGCGCCGTCTGCGTCTGTGGACATCAGTCATGCTTTCATACCAACGAACCGTACATGCCCGAGCGTGATTATCTGGTCGGCAAGCTCAGGGCCCTGCAGATCAATTTCGCCACTTTGGAGGAGAGTTTTGTCTCGAGGCTCAGTGCTCTGGAGGAGGTGGTTGACAAGAGCAGGGAGGAAGCCAGTCTCGAGATCAAGGGCGCGTATCAAAATCTGAGCCGGGCATGGCACTCAATCAACGAAGTCGAGCGACAAACCCACGAGGCTCAGATTCTCTTCAGCCGTCACGGAGAGAGGATCGAGCACGTCGAGGACGAGGTGCGGCGCCTCGATAACCGGCAGCTCGAGCTGAATGATGCCGACATCGGCCTGGAGGAGCGCATCGAGGCTCTCGAAGAACTGGACGAGCGCGCGACACCCACGACGAGGTATCGAAGGACTTCAGAGATGGACGTGCCCATGTCAAGCCACCCGGTCATCGATGCGCCACTGTTTCCTAGAGCCCACACGGCAGCTCCGGCGATAAGGCCTCGCAGGCCACCGACGTCGGCGCCTGAGGGAAGCAATCTTTGGACCGTCCACATCTCGCTTCTCCCAGCCTCCACTCTTCCTTTCCCGTTTGAGCGGAACACGAGTGCCTACAAGCGGTGTCTTTCCCGTGGCCTCCACCAGATGGTTGTGATCAATGGCCGTGATGCCGAGTCGTTCAACTCGGCCGTGTCCAAGGCCTTCTCCAGTCTCCTCCAGGGCCGTTCGTGGATGCCCTTGCAGGCGGAACTCTGCAACGCCGAGACGCTCCAGGGGCTCCCTATGATCCGGCGGCTCGATGAGTCGCTGATCCACGGACGATACGACTTTGAGTTCCTGCGAAAGCACTGTGCGGTGCTTGACAGCAATGGTCTGATCGATTCCCTCTACATCGCCATGCGGTTCGATACCCTCTCCTGGCACGCTCTCCGCAGGGCGCCCGTTTTCATGCCGGGGCTTGAAGCATGCTGGGCGCTGGATTCCGTGCTGGATCAAGACGACGACGCTATTGATGATAGTGATCGGCCCTCCGCTGGCGAGATCCTGCTCCCTGCTCTGACTAACAACCTGAAGCGCGCTGCATCAGAGATGTCACACTCGTCAAGCTTCGGGTCGGCGACTGCGCCGGGAGTGGCGGCGGCAGCTGTCACAAGTGAGGGTGAGGGGTCCCGACCAAAAGTGGCGAGGGTTGTTCCTAACATTACCGAGGATCGAAGACGGGTTGAGACTGTGTGAATCTTGATCGCCACATCGATCAAGTAGGGAAGTAGGGAGCGAGCCTTGAGAAGGCCATCCGCGGGATCATCACCGCCCTTGATGCCGATGCCCAACCACCGGGCCTCGTGCAAATACGACGAAATGACACAAGGATCTGGAGTAGAGCGGGGGAAAGAAAGGATGTCATCGACTCCTTTTCCGGCTCATCGTGGGGACGATACTAGCCGCGACGGGACAGGAATTAAACGTCTTTAAAGTAGAATGGAGTGATTGGAGAACAGGGCGTTTTAACTCTGGAAATGTTTGGGGCTTGTGCCATGGGATTTACTGGCTTGATTTATTTGCTGTGAATATATAGATCGGGGAAGACCGCTTGGTGAATATGGTTTTTTTTTTTATCCATATCCTTACAACTCCCAGGTGCTTACTACCCCTCTGACATGGAGAATAAGACATGTGTTTACTGAGCTGTGCCGTGTTCTGTGGAAATCTCAGGGTCGTTTGCACAGGCATTTGACAAAGGAGGTAGGATCTAGGTTAGCGGACGTCAGAAGTGCACATTTTTATTTGCTCACCGTGAGGGGGACTAGTAATTGGCTGCCACCCCCACGGCGTGTCATTAATAGTATCGTCGACCTAGGCATCCATGTCTCTTGCAGGCAAGCGTATGCTCAACCCCGTGGGAGGAAAGAAAGCCACGCGAGGGGACGGGACGGACTTGGATCGACCCCTCGCCCAATCAGATGTGAGTGGGCTTCTCCAAATGCCACGGCCGTGCCTAGGCCTAGGAAAGATAGCGAAGGATTACGTACTGACAACCTAAGGCAAACGGGCAGATCTGTTGGCAGGCGAGCGTTGGGCGTCTCAATTTTAGCTAGACGAGTTGCAGGATACGTTGGGATTCCATATAGCGGCGGGCATGCACCCTGCACATTACTGCATGTTTGCGGGGGAGGCTTCGACTTCTCAACAGCTGCCGGCCGACGGTGGCACACGCAGGAGCAGACAGGCACGCGCCCTATGCGTGACAATGGGTGGATGATATGCCATAGGTGGTAGGTACATACCTAGTACCTATGCGCAGTGCTGTATTTGTGGACGAGGAGGCCTTTGTCAAATTGCTGGGGAAGCTCGAGGGAACCGCTCGAGGGATGTTGCATTATGTCAGCAGAGATGGGCACCCAGAACCGCCGCGGCTCCAACACTGCGGGTGGGTCCGCCCGTCAACGAGGCGCGACGCAAGGCTGCGAGCGCCCATTGTTCAACCTTGACCTATCTCCGCTCGATTGCGGGCGGCAAAGCACGCTGCCGTGACAGCGCTTGCATAAAACACCTCCCTGGGCCCTTTCAAACTCTTTGGGTTTTTACCCCTCTTTAATCTCCCTCGGGTTGCGATCAATCATGTTGCAGCGCCGCTGAATCCGCCTCTATATCTTCCGACCCCATTTCCTCATCAGCCGCTAACTAAACCAAATCGCAACAGCTCAAACCCTTTGTTGGGAGCCTGTCACTTTCACTAGACTCGAGCCACAACCCGCCCAGTCCTGCACAAGTAGCGCACAGCCGCAAGCCTCTGCCCACCATGGATCAAGACTATGACGTCGAAATGGGCGATGCTGAGGATTATGCCATGCCCGAGGCCGACAGCATCCTCCCTGTGGACGATGACATCCTTCCCGTGGACGACGCTCAGGTTAGCGCGCGCTTTGCCCTACCGAGCCATTTGCTCCTTCCTCCCCGCCGCCCGCAATCAAGGCACAAACACTGACGCAAGGGCATTGTCCTTTGGTCGCGACTAGGAACCTGGAGAAGTGGACGAGTCGGCCGATCCTGCGGCGGACCTGGCCGCCGAGGACCTTAAGCGATGCCCGGCCAAGGTGCACATGCGCGGTGTCGACAGTATGAACCCGAAAGAGATCAAGACCTACTTCGACGAGCACGCCGGCGGCCTCCAGTACAAGCACATTGAGTGGATCGACGATTCGTCGGCCAACCTCGTCTTCGCCTCCGAATCGAGCGCGTCCGAGGCCCTCATCGCCCTGTCGGCCATCGACGTCGCGGACCCGGCCCAGCTGCCCGCGCTCGAGCTCCTGCCTGCGAAGCCGTGCGCGTCCAAGCCCGGCGCCACGCTGCAGGTCCGCATCGCCGTCGTCGGCGACCGCAAGATCAAGGGCGCCGCCGAGCGCAGCAGGTTCTACCTCTGGCACCCGGAGTGGGAGCGACAGAACAGGGACGACGGAAGGAACGGAGGCTACCGGAGCCGATACCGCGACCGCGACCGCGACTCGTACGACAAGCGCCAGCGCGACGACCGCCACAACAGCGATCGCAGCGGCAGGTACGACGGCAAGCAAGGCGACGATGAGGGTATCGAGCGGTTCGACGCTAGCCTCTACGACGACGACCAGGAGGCGCTCGCGCGGCGCGAGCCCCGGGCTCGGAGCAGGAGACGCGGCGGCCACCGCTACTCGCGGTCCAGGTCTAGATCACGGACCCGGTCGCGCAGCCGGTCCGGCCGGTCCGACCGGTCCGACGACCACCGACGCCAGAAGGACAATCGCGGCAAGGAGCTCTTTCCGGACCTGCGCAGCCGGAACGACAGAAGCGGCGGGTCCGGCCTCCGGGGCCGCTCGGCATCGCCTGCACGAAGCCGGGACGGCGACGATACCGTCTCAGTGGCATCGTCGCGGAACCGGGACAAGGCGCGCGCCATCAAGGACCGACTTTCTACGGCAGCGAAGGACAACCGGGCCAAGGAGCTGTTTCCCTCGAAGATGGGTGCAGTCGGCGGCGGCAAGGCGCAAATGGACCAGATCGATAAGGTCGAGGCGGTCAGCAGGAGCCTCAGCGGTATGTCACCCTTCAGCGTTGTCGAGACGCTCTCTCCAGGCGGCGTGTGTGGTGGTTGGGGCGCCCCAATAATGGGCTGTCTCCAGCACCAGCACCAGAATTCTCAACAGGAACAGTGGCATCAACAGCAGCCCAGCGGCTGTTGCTTCGATTCGAATTGCGTAAGTGGCAGCGGCGGCGGCACCAAGCGGCCTGCGGCGACGGCGACGGCGAATCGAGCCAAATATCTGGAGAAGGTTATGGTCAATTCTTTCAAGTTCTAAACAACAAAAATTTCCTCCCAGCAGATCGAGTTACAAGACCAGGAACTACAACGGGCGCAAGCACAGCGGCTGGCGGCACTAGCATCAAGGGACTTGCAAAACAGCAGCAATCGTCCCAGGGTGGCTCCGGCACCACGGGGTTCTCTATCAAGGGGCGCGCGACGGCGAAGGAGCTCTTCCCGGAAAAACTTGGCAATGCGGGCAAGGAGCTCTTTGCGGACAAGCTGGAGGGGAGGGGGAGGCCTAGGAGGAAAGCGGAGGACTCATTCTATTAGTGGCGACCGAGTCTCTTTTAAACTCTCCAAGGTGAGCAACGTCCAACGATCACTCTGGTTTGCAGCATCTTTTGCTTGTGACAGACAGACAAGCATAGGGGCGCTGACTGAACGGAAATGTCTTATAGTGTCCAGCAACTTTGCATTGCATACTCTTCTCATTTTCCTTCTTTTACCTCATCTTTTATTTTCTGTCCAGCGGGCGATCCCTTTCTCCCTTGAGATACCTTGCAAGTAGGAAGCGAGCCGAGCGTCCCGAGCACCTCGAGCGGCGAGACGGCAGGCGTGGCATCGGTGGCTTACTGTGCCCAGAAAGAAATATGCTTTAGCCACCAATGCGCCGGAGAGCATCGGCTGGGTAGCCGACCGGCGTTGGGAGGGTCCTGGCTCCCCGAGGGGATACCGACGGAGACCTCGGTAAGAAATTTGCTCGCAAAACAAGTCGGCCCATATTCTCGTTTACGTGTATGTATGCCTGCTTCGCGGAAACGGTTATATATATATATATATCGTGATTTGAGATATACATGCTGCCTTGGTCGGGGCGGCAGCAGCGTGCAGAGTGCTGATATCAGTATAGCGGCCTCGGCTGGGCCTCGATATAAAAACATTGCAGTGTTGATATCAGGTTGGTAATCTTCGTCCCATGTTTCTGGGATCGGGTGAGAGTATGGGGGACTGAAGGATGCACAAGAGGGGGAAGTGCCGTGGTTACAATCAAAGTCGGTAGCACCTTCCCCGGGTAGGGTTATTACTTTCCAGACTGTCGTCACGTCTGCCTGGTTTTTTTTTCGGCCGAGCAACCCGACAAACTTGCGTCACTTCAACCTCTCCCAAGCCTTCGTCTTGTTCACCCATTTGCTTGCTCACCCATTTGATATCATACTTCCCCTCCGGTATCATTCTCCCTCCCTGATTCTCTTTACTTTCCGTACCCGCTTCTTTGTTATTCTGGCATAATCTCCAGATGCCAAGATTATCATTCTCACGACATCAAATCGAAGCACGTAATCATCGCCATCAGAAAATGGCCAACGACACCGGCGCCCGCCGAGTCGACTGGCCGCGTCGAATAGAAACCCCCACACAGGGCGATGATGAGGAGAGTGCCGGAAGAGGATTCGCCCTGTCCCCTCCCACACGCCCGATACAGCGTTCGACCCATTCCCCATCTCCGCCGCCAACCGGCTCGACCTCTCGAGAACACGCCACTAAGAATCCGCAAGCGCCAAACACCGCACTCGGCCGCCTGCAGAAGATACTCACCACAGCGTCGCCCCGTAAAATCCATCTCCCACCGGCGAGTCCGAGGTCTACAGCCCTCCCGTCCCCGTTGGGCGATCGTCAGGGTGGCAACGCGCGTGGCAGCAGGACTATCAGCCCAGCGGGCGAGCGTGAGGATCGACACCCTTTGCGGTCCCCCCGAGAGCAGCAGCAGCGCAAAATGCCCCCGATACAAGCTCAGCATCCCACGGCCCGCCCCGCGAAGACTCGCGAGTTTGTACCAAGCATGGGCAAGCCGGCGGCAGGCGGCGTCAGCCCCACCACACTGCGCGATGATGCAGCGGTTGGCAACAGCACAAGCAATGTGTTCTCGTGGGCATCAATCCCAGACCTGGACGGGAGCGCGGATGCGGGCCTGGGTATGGCGGGCAACCCGTGGCACAATCCACAGCTGCACCAGGTCGTAGATCTGCTACAGGTGGCCATCATGTCGAGCAGGAACGGATGGCGGCTCTCGGAGGACAACGACAAGCGTCCCAGCCGCAGGTTCCACAAGCACGGCGGTTACGGCAGATGCAGTGGAATCGTTAACAACCCCGAACACGTTTCGGCGCCCTTCAGGACTCCCCTGCCCGACGAATACCGCGGGCTCGTGTCGCGGCTCGTCGAGGCCGTCCCGCTCCTTGAGCGGCAGATCCAGATGGCGGAGGCGCGCGCAGGCCGAGTCGCAGAGGAGCGCCTGCACGATCTGGCCCTGTACGAGGCTGCAGTGGACGAATGGAACCAGCGCGAGGACGGGTTCAAGAGCGAGATGCGCCGGCTAGAGCTCCTGCTCGCGCACGAGACCAAGGGCGGCATGGAGACGGTGGCCCTGGCCCGCAGCACCTCTGTCGTCAACCGAGGCGACTCGCACAGATTCAAGGGGCGGATGAGGATGGTCGGAGAGAGGGTCCGCGAGAGCCTCGGTGGCTCTGATGTGGACAATCCCGAGTTTCTTGATGACGAGCGATGGATTCACAAAGACGCAGTGGGTAAAACGCCTGCAATCGGCCCTACTCGGCTGAACCAGCAGTACCTTGGTATATTCGATTCTGTCTTTCGCTTCCCTGTCCCTCGCTGCCCTCAACGCGAGGCCAAGTTTGAGTATTCCAGCTGACCACGATAAGTACCAGGCGACCGTCGGAAAATCGTGGATGAGGATCATGATGTGCGAGTTAGCAGGAGCCTGCTCACGGGCCCCAAAGTGCCATTACCGACGCCCAACTACGGTCGTGTTCGGGACACGCGAGACTACACCCAGTCGCCCGTGAAGGGAATGGCAAATATGGACGAGCTACCTGGCCTCCCGCGTCCCACCCCCTCGGACCCAGGCCATCAAGGCCATGTCCATGTCGGCCACGAGCGTTTAGGCAAGCAGTCATCGAGATGGAATAGTAGCCGCCCTTTACCCGACTCGGGCGAGTCGGATAGCTCGGATGAAAGCTCTAGTTCTGACGACGAAGGTACAGCCCAGGACCTAACGGAAGAGAATAGAGGCGAAGGTGGTGAGGGTCTCCAGCGAGTCGACACGATGACCCAGGAAAAGTATAACTCGGACATGTACGCGCACCAGAACCGCCAGCTCGGGCGCGAACTTGGCGGAATCGACCAGCAAAAGAAGCGCTTCTCGTTCGAGCCTGGCGAGGACCAGATCCGCCTCAGTCCAACACCCCTAGATTCGGTTGACTCGGTCAACCCTCCAATCGAATCCGCGCCGATTGGCAGCGGGTCTACGGCAGGAGCCATGCCAACAATGGGTATTTCTGCGAAACAAGGCGCCTCCCCCGTACCCGGCTGCGGCTGGGGAACAAGACCGTTTCATTCCGATGGGAGCTCCACGGCGATTGGCGGCAGTACGAGAGCCTCACCAACAACAATACGCTATATTTCTTCGGTGTCATGCCAGCAGGGGGCAGCAGCCGTTACTAACGTCGGCTCGGGTGAGTCTTCCGTCGATGGCGCTCTGGATCAGCCGGGTGCTAGCAACTGCCGTGATGTGGCAAGTCTCGGGGTCAAGTGTCACAAGGCTCAAGGCGAGGTGCGGGGTCAGCTAGAGGATGGTGGTGACTACTTTGGATACTACCAAAGTCCCAGCCCCAGCGCCGTCGTGCCCCGGATCCTGGCTCCGGAGAATCCGAGCCGGGTTACGGAAACAGCAACAGCCCCTAGCATAGCTGCAACCACCGTCGCTGATGGGTTAACGACCATACAGGAAAAAACCCCGCCCCCAAAGAAGGCTAAGAGGAGCAAGGCCGGCGGCAACGCTAAGCGTTCGCAACCTCCCCCACCTCCTTTGTCCCCTTGGGGCCAGACCACGGCCACCGACGCCTTGGATGGCGGTGGCGCTGGTGCTGGTGTTGGTGCTGGCGCTGATGCTGGCACTGGTGCTGGTGCTGGTGCTAGCACTGGTGCAGGTGCTGGCACTGGTGCCGATACTGGGACCGGAACTGGCACTGGAGCTACCACTATAATTTCCGCCGCAGCAGCAGCAGCCGCTGCTGCCACGAGGGGACTTGCAAGTGCTTCCGCAAGGGCGGCCACTGGCGTCCTGTTTTCAGCGGCCCCCCGACAAGTCGTCACCTCAGAGTCGGATGGTGGGGATACGTCCAGGGGTGAGCTCGCGGGCAAGGTGCCTTGAGCTGCAATAACCAGCCGCAAGGCCCGGCGTGGCCCGTAATTTCAACTCTCGCGCGCGCGTTTTTCTATTCCAGTACGAGCCAGTTGCTTGGGCAGGATTTGTCACCGGATTGGACGGGGAGAAGGGGAACTACCCAGCTAGGACCTATGGGTAGGGCGTCGGCATTTTGTTCATCAAGGCTCTCCTCGTCTCTTGGGGGATCTAGCAAGGGTAGGTCTCGTACGCGGACTACTTGTCTTGGTTTCTTTTTATCTTTGTCGACATCCCCTTGTCTCTTCTTTCCGGACAAGTTCGTCCGGGAAATTTTCGAGGGGATCAAAAACCCTCGCTACATCTGATTCGGTAGATGAAGGGAACTGCAGCCACTTATGACTGTTCGATTACCGTTTCCAGCCGAGCCAAGACGCTGGATATGTTTGCTTTTTCTGTACTTCCTCGCTAGCATGATCTCGATCGCTCTCGTCCGTGGTAAAGCCGGGAGTAGCTCGAGATTTGCAGATAGTAGTGCCCTTTTGATGGCCAACCTTTTGCCCGTAGCACCAAAGCAAGAGCGGCATTTGTTCCGCAAGCATTACGGGCCAGACGTACAGGATGCCGTGTGCGCCGTGGCAACGTAGATACTTGGGTAGGTACGTACCTACCTAGGCACTACCTATACACCCAACGAAGCAACGAGGCGTGTCCCCTCTGTGCCCTAGTGGCGTACTTGGGCGACTTTTCTTTTCAGTTGCACGTTCCAGTCCCATCTTCCCCCTCTTCTAACGTACCAATGGACGCAACGTTGTACGTCTGGACCAACTGGGGAGGGTCACTCACATACATACAGGCGCGCAAGTCGCGGCTCTTCCTCGCTCCGCGGGGTTGGTGGCTGGCTGGGATGGTTGGAACGTCACCTTATGCTTCCTGGCCACCCCCGTCCACTATCTTTCCCCCTCTCGAGTACGCAGACGTGGTCCCCCCCTTTTTTTTGCTCCTTTTGGATACACGAACGCACGCCCTTGGCTTGGGGCCCAGGATCATGCCCCAGGTACAAGTTGGAAGGGGGCATGTAGGGAGCGAGTTATGGGAGTGTGGGTCTGAGTCGCTTTTGCGCGTGGGCTGTTATCTTGTTTTCTTATTTTTTGTTTTTGCTTCGGCTACTGCGCTTTCCCTATTTTTCGTCCCCAATCGATGAGCCCAGCCTGGCCCTCATCCCCGCGGCTAGGCCCTTGTCCTCCTCCTCTCCCTCCTCCTTCCCCATCCTATCTTCGTTTGTGAGAGGAGTGGAGCAGAAGAGAAAAAAAAAAAGGGTTCACGGTCCTCTCCCCTTCTTCATGTTTACCGTCGGAGAGACACACGAACCAGGCATCTGCCATACGTACGTGAGATGCGCCCCGTCCCTGTGGTCTGGAGAGTTTGGGTGATACGGCTCGCCGAAGGTTTCCCTCGGGTCGTCTTTTTTTTTTGTGTGTGCATGCAGGGGGAGGGGGGGGAGACATGGATGGTGGTTGAAGCCCACCCCGTTCACCATAGCCATAGCGCCACCTTTCCCTTGAATCACCGAACGGTGGCTGCAAATCGGCTCGGCCTTTCTCGTTCGGTGGCTGCTTTTGGCAAAAGATATAGATACCTGTGTGATAAGGTGATGCAATGGGCGTTCCACGGTGGACGAAGCAAGGTTTTTGGGTTTTTGAGGGCAGGAGTCTCGGCCTGCCCAGGCTGTCACATCATCTGTGTACGGGAACGTATGCACTATGTTTGTGTGTATGTATGCAGTATCCTCGCGTGGCGCTTGTTACAGGCCAAAAGGCGACATTTGTGTAATCACAGCCATATCTCTTCCTATTCCATCCTCATAGGCGCACACTCCCCTTTTGCTCACCCGCAGCTCGTGATGGGCGAGTCGCGACTTGAGGCAAGGAAGATGCTTTGTCTTTTGGTCCCCTTTCCTTTTTTTTTTTTCCTATTCGTCATTCCCCTGTTGTTTGTTTTTATGCTTAGCCCGGGCCTCGAGTCGTTATGGGCCGATGGGACAAAGGAAAAAAAAAAAAGGTTGACGTGGGCAAGAAACGGGCCGGCATGAAGCTTTGATGGCGGCGGTGGGTGTGTAGAAAAAAAAAAAAAAAGGGGGACAGGCAAGCAGATGGATAGGATAGAGTTCGCCTGACACTCCCGAGGGCCGAACGAGGCCGCTGCTCCTCTCTGTACGGTGCGTGGTAGGTGGGTGCGTACACTTGGGCCATGCCCAGAGGGACCGGGGGGGACAAGTAACCAAGAAAAAATACATGTGGCGAAAGCATCCCTCCCCCGCGGCCCGGGCGGTTCGGATTGTTCCTCGACACGTTACATCAGGGCCGGCGGTTTAGGGTTCACGGCGGCGGCACATGCATGGCAGGCAGGTGGGTTTCGCGCCGAGGAAGGGAAATAGCAAAGAAAAGAAAAGTCAAAAAAACATGGGCCGAGCTTGACTTTGAAGGCGGAGGACGGCCAAGGGGAACGTCCCGAGGAGGCACAAACACACACACGCAGCCGAAGACCTTTTTTTTTTTTTTTTTTTTTTTTTTTGTATCCTTGTTCGGATGATTTTTGTTCGGATGACACAAATGGCCGGCCGAAGGGACAGCATTCATTGTAGACACACAGACGCGCATAACAGATGAGCGTACGCACGCTCCTCCTTCCCCCTTCTCAAGTCTAGGCTATCGCCCATAGGCCCATCATGTTTTTTTTTTTTTTTTGGTTTTTTTTAGCTGGTTCTGTCTCAGGGCCGACACGGAGCGGGGGAGAGAAAAGAGACACCGAGGCGGCGCAGGTCTCGGGGGCGAGGAGGAGGAGAGGGTGAGATGAGATTCTAGAGATGAACGATTGGTCAGTCGGAAGGGGATCGAGGCTCGAGACCCGGGGAGCGGGGAGGAGGGGGTTGCACGAAAAGGGGGTTCCCGATGTCCGGGTTGCGATGAGTCCTTTTTTTATTACTGTGATTTGAAAAGGGTGACAGGTATTTGTTTGGAGCCGATGTCTTGATTTTCTGCAGTTTGTGGTGAATGTCTTTGTGATGTTTGTGATGTTTGTCACCTGGAAAAGCTAGGCGTGGAGCAGTGGGGTGGGTCCAGCCATCTTGCCAGAGAAGAAACGAGAGAAAAAAAAAGAAGGCTCCAAAAAAAAAGTGGGTGTGGCCTCCCTCCTCCACGATGACCCAGATCTCTGGGACCGGGTCCGCTAGGTGCAAATCCCGGGGCCGGGAAGCGGACCATGTCGCGGTGTCGGGATCCGAGGGGAGAAAGAAGGGCTCGAATGGGGGAGGGGAGGGGGGAGGGGAGGGGTGAGGCAAGGGAGCCTTGGCCAGAGATCGGTGTAGACTTCCGGATTGGGCTTGACCTCCGTCCCGACGAAGGCCAGCGGTGACAGCAGCAGCAGCAGCAGCAGCATCACCAGGCCAGGCTGGTTGCATGCAACACAGCAGTATCTGCCGTTTTGTTTCTCGCGTGAGAAAAGAGCGAGAGTGCGATGCGACTCGACAGACAGGACAAGCAAGGCTCGTCGTAATTCAGCCAAACAAATAGAAATACGGGCGCAGGGTATGCAGCTGCAGATGCAAGGCAGGTCTTGGGATAGTGTTGAGTGTTGAGTATTGTAGGTAGTATAGATGGCTGTAAAACCAGAAGAGACACAGAAAAGTTGTCGCCCAGGGTCAGGGAACCCCATCTAGCGAATTCCCGGCCGACTGCAGCATCTCGGGACTGCTCCTTGTTTGTTCTTGATTGTGATCTGTAAAAGAAAAAAGAAAAAAAAGAAAAGGAAAAAAAAAAAACAAAAAGCCAGGCGGGCTGCATGACGTGAGCATGGCATTCTCGTCTCGGCAGGCAAAACGGGATGGAACGGGACAAAAAAGTAACGACAGCCCGAGGCGGTGCGACGACGCACGATCTCGGCTTGGATCTTGCATCGAGCGGCCCCGACCAGATTTTCTTGGGGCCGCCGCCGCCTCTTCCCCTCTTTCCTTTCCTCGGGTTCCCTCCCCTGGTTCCCCCCTCCATCTTCCCTGCTTGCTTTTTTTTTTTTTTTTTTTCTTTTTTTTTTTTTTTGTGGGCGGTGCAAAACGCTCGCCGTCCTGTCAGATTTGCTGGCACATTTCATGTCGTCTCACAAAGCTCGTCTCAAGATGCGATTGGGCGTCCAGAACCCCCCGACAAATCCGCAGTTCCGCAGTTTAGCTTCAGATCTCAACGGCCCATCTCCCCATCTCCCGTGTTCAAGTCCCGAATATGACGACCATGAAGAAGCAGAGGCCTCCGGAATTATTTCAGGTCAGGGGGGGGCCAGTCACCACGGCCATCTTCGGAAGCTTGCCAAGTAAAATATGCCGGCCATGGCCGACCGCCGGGACGACTTGACCCGCCCTCCCCACCGTCATCGCTCCCAGCCCCGATGCGGGCGACCCCGCGTTTTTCTCTGCATCGTTTATGCCACCCTCCCCCAAGCCCTCGGGAGAGAGATCATCATCACCTCCCCGCTTGGCCGTTTTCTTCTTCTTCCTCGACCGGCCATGGCGTGGCAAAACCAAGCCAGGCGGGATATGGCATGGAGGCACGGAGAAAGTTGACAGCAGCCGGCGTCCCCAACCCGTCTCGGGACTACCAGGACGGGAAAAAAAAAAGATGGGATGGCCGCCCGCTAGCCAGGTAACCCCTTTTTTAGCGCTCTCAGGGAACCCGCCTTAGGGGATTGGGCCGGCTTCCTCTCTCAGGGATGTGGATCAGGCAGGGCAGGGCCCGGACGACGGATCAGTAAACAAAACATGTTCGCTGAACCACGGTTTGTCAAGGCCGCTTTGTGTAATGTTTTATCCCGGTGCCACCAAAAGGGGTGCGGGCGTCAAACACGAGGACGGACGCCAGTTGTCGTCGTCGCCTCGCCTCCGGATGGGGCATCAACCGACGTAGCGCCTGGGCGGGGAGAGATGCCAGCAATTTGCCGGGGTGCCGGGGACCTGGCTGCCTGCTTCTCTCTGCCTGCTTCAC